CCAAAAAAGTCTTTCCTGAGAGGCATCCTAACAGTTTATTATCTCCAGAAATTAGATAATGTAGCTCTCACAGCCATGAAAACCTGTTTCCAGCTGATCCAGATGATCAAATGGCTCCAGCAGAGGACACATTTTTAATTATTGGTGCTTCACAATTATGGAAAAAAGTGCAAAAGGGTCCCAGAAAACAAAAGGTTTTATGTCTTTTTACACAGTGTAAGTAAACTTCTGGTTTCAACTGTATATATAGGTGGTCTAATACATGTGTTAAACACTGTATTTGCACTTTTTGAGGCCCAGATAGCATCCATGTTTGAAAATGTTGCACTATTTTTAATTTTCAAGTGTCAATAATTAAACTACAGGATCATTTTTATCAGCTTGGTTTTCTGTGTCCTCACCTCGTTTCGTGGCTCTGGAGGAATAGTAGAGAACTACTGGACCATAAACATGCCCTCACTGCTCAGACATTATATGAGTTTGATAAAAGATGATATCCTCAAAATTCAGCCGGAATGTTTTCTAGAAATGTCTGGAAACGTGGAAGCAGGACTCCCAGTGCCGCCGCCGGGTCCGTCCGCTGGGTGGCGCTGCGTCCCGGCGGTGACCGGCCCGGAGCTGCTGGGTTTTTGGGGTAACAAAGGTTACTATGGAGACCTCTCACATCTTTTGTTGTGAGCTAAAGTGGAAAGATGCGCACCAGCTGCTACATGGAGGACACGGTGTCAGCCAGTAAACCGGTAAGTGAGCAGGAAAACAATGTACAGCCGTAAACTTAAATAATTCATGTGCGGCTCGGACGTGAAGCGACGCTAGCTCACTTTTAGCCCAGCTAGCGTTAGCCGGGCGCAGCTAAAGGTAGCTTCCGCGGCTAACTGTTTAGCCAAGTGACAAAACGAGCCATTAAAATGTGAAAATATTCCCTCAGTGCGTTTTATTTTAAGTGTGTTAGCGTTAACTGAAGCCGTGAAGCTGTCATCCGGCTGGAGGGAGCACGGAGCCAGCCCGGTTACGTAGAGAGCGTCGCTGTGGGCGGATCTGCGGTAGCCAGTAGCTGGGCTCAGACGGGGTCTGTCGGCGTTAGCCAGTCGGGCTAGCAATGACGGATAGGATCGCCCCTACCGGGTTCGGGATCGTGAGCCGCCGCCAGACATGATTTTGTGGAGACCACCGAACAAGTAAGAGCTCCCGGTTCGTCTCTGAGCGCGAATGTGTCGCCTGATTTCACGGTGAAGCAGGAATTGGAGGACGGGGGGGAGGATTTTTTCCCTGCCACAGGAAAGAGCTCGACAGATTTAGCCGGAGCGTGATTTCCTGCTAGCTTTTTGTGTCTAACGCGGTTCCGTTTGGCGCAGAAGGACGCTTGTAGACGGTTTTCCTCTCGTTTATTGCACATTTCTGGTGGGTTTTTTTTCTGTGTGTAATTTTGCGGCTACGGTGTACAGCCAGGGTGACAGTGACAGCCATCTGCAGCCCAGCAGCGTTACTGCAGGCGGAGCTGCGTCCACAGTTGTCGGTGTCGCGCTGCGGATCGCTGCGGTGCTGGTTCGTGTTTACAGCTGGGTCTCAGGGTGGCGTCGCTCTGTGGCGTTTTTTTTTTTTCCTTTTTTCTTTTATTTATTTATTTGTGCGACGTGATTAAAGGTCTTCGCCCAGTGTTTGTGACAGCAGAATGGAAGGCTGGTGCTGCCTTCAGGGACTCCCACTGAGCCCGTTCATCCGGGTTCTGATTGAATCTGTGAAGTGCGGCTTTGATTGACGGCGTGTTAAGCAGCTGCGTTATTCATGTTTTAGTTCGTGTTGTGATCCAAACAGGTTCTGTGACGGATACAATGTGAACAGTGACTGACAGGAATGCTGCTCTGGTTTTGTGCACAGAGCGTTTACAGCAGCTCTCCAAACATTTTTCACTGTAGGACAGTTATTTGGTCTCATGTTACACACATAGATGGAGTTTCTTCTGCCACAAACTGAAGCTGTGTCACCCAGTTTATACACATCAGTCTGTCAGAATAACTTCATGTCTGCAGTCATGGTGAAGATTTGGCTTAACGTGTTGGAAATGTGTGCAGTTTGCAGGATGATTATAGAGAATAATCAATATTATTCCAATGTTTACACTGTATGTATTTGGTTTGTCTAATATCCTTGTTTACACTGTGATTAATATGATTTACAAAAAGGGCTTCTGGGCAGTAATGGACAAAATTAAGTGGAAAACTTGCCTGATATGAGCTGAATTGGTTCTTTAAAGATATTCCAAACAGTAAAAACAGCTGGAATTGGGTATAATCTATGGAAATGTGTTTTTTTTCTCTGTTGTTAAATAACGAAATATACCCAGAAAATCACTAAATATGGCATCGAGGTTAAAGCTGAAATAAATAAATGAATAAGGCAGTAAATATATAAATCTTTACAAATGCTATATTTATGTATTCCAGTATTTTTATGGACATATTTATTCATTTAACAATGAATTTATAAATAAAGACAGAGTTCCATGTTAATACAGGGCGAGATACGACCCAACATGTCCCGTAGCCAAAGAAATGTTTGCAGCTCATAGAGTAATTAAATTAATGAATTTAGACAATAACGCATGATTTTGTCATATCGTTGTTTATACTGTAATAAACATGATTTACAAATTAGTTTATAGAGATTTTTTTTTAAAAGAAATCCTCTTTTGCAGCCATCCTGTGTGCAATAATCTTTAAAATATGCCTCCTTTAATTAAATCAGGTCATTCTGGCACATTGGTTAGATTTCAGTTGCACTGTAGGAGCTGCAGTCACTTTTTCTTCAGTGGAAAACTGCTTTATATGAGTTCAACTTGTTCTGCAAAGATAATTAAAGCGATAAAAACAACTGAAATGAGTTAGAATCTGTTGAATTCAATGCAAATTAAATGTTACCTACAGAATTAAATAAATGTTCCCATGAACTAGATAAATAAGGTTAATCCCAAAAATGACTGCTTTGGTTTGGTATTTACAGGGACTAATATTCACTAATGACACATTTATTCAAACACGGTCATTAAACGCATCCTGGATTAAAATCTCTGTCAGACAGGTGTGGTGCCAAAAACCCTGATCCTCACCTGTTTGCCTTACTTTACCTGCCTGATGTCATCATTACATGCTATTTGTTGGATATTGAATGGAAAAAAAAATGTGATTCAGTGATGATGTCAGGCAGGTGAAATAAGTCAGACACGTGAGGATCAGTTTTTTTTTGGCACCACACCTGTCTGTGAGAGATTTTGGTCCACAGATGCTCCGATAGTACGTGAAGGCCTCGTGCTTACGTAATAGGGAGGGCAGGGCCGAGGAGACGTGGGAGGATACGTGCACACTCACACACTCCAGCACACAAAGTGGATTTCTGACATTCTTGGATCTTGACAGCTTTTGTGCGCACCGAGCGACGGACGGACAAACCGAGCGACTGACTGACTGACTGGGAACGTTGTCACGGAGCGGAGGAGAACTTCCCGGGAATCCCGTGTTTTTTCGTTGGTAAGACGCTCCGGTTCGCTTCTCGTGTTGTCTTTTCTTTTTTTTTTAATATATCACAAACGTGGGTCCAAATCCGGAAGGTTTTTGTGGTCTCAGTTTACGGATCCCGAGTCCGCTTTGCGCTTCGTGCGTAAAAGTCACGGTCCAGATTCCAGCGCCATAAACATCAGCTCAGAGTTAATATTTGAGCGCTTGTGGGTTAAGAAGGAAAAAAAATGTTGCGTTCAGGTGCTATATTTCTGGAGCTGCGTTGTGTTTACATCCGAGCTGCTGAGATGTTCCAACCCTGAGCCACGTGTTGGGCGCTGGAGACCATGTGGCCGTTGTAAACACTGCAGCCTGGCGCGTCTTTATCTCCCCTGACCGCCGCTTCTGCCCGTTCAGCTGCGATTTACGGACGCAACTATGTGCTCGTGGGAAGTTTCTGGGGCTTGGTGAAACTACAGCAGCCTCCAACACGCTGTGTGTGCCTTCTATTGTGCAGCTGGGATTAGTAGTTGTGTATTATGTAACGTCACCAGCACTATTTGCATGTGTGCTCCCACCCAGCTGCTCCGCCACCACAATTATTAGCTCCAAACCACTTATCAGCTTAAATGTCAATATTGTTGCAGGAAAGGTCAGATTACGGTTTTCACACGATAACCAGCAGACAGTTTGGGATCATCTGCGGGTCATGTTCCTCCCACATATGTTGTTTTTGTGTGTGCGTACATGGGGTGTAGTGACTTTGGCAGTCTTTTGTTTCAGGGATGTAAACCTGCTGAGGCTGCCGGAGGCAAGCAGAAGCAGCTTTCTTTGCTTTTAAAATGAATCGGATCAGCTTGAACCAGTATTTGACATGAATGAAGCGCTACATATGTGGTTTTTAACCGCTGTTGTGCTGTTTCTGACCAGTCGAGGCGTTAAAACGGTGATGGGAGTACATCACACAGCACCTGCGTTTATCAGACACTTGTTCCACCTGCGTCTGACTGTAATTGTAGTTTCACACATTGTCGCAAAACCGCAGAATTAGTCAAGTAATGGTTGCATGTGTTCGCTGTAAGAGCTTCCGACTGAGAGTTCAGTAAGAGTTCACGGCTTTATGTTCTCCCGACACTTGAGGGAAAGTGGTTTAACCGTTTTTATTTGGTCATTAAACCGGCAAAGAGGGAAGCTAATGAAGGGTAAAATTTACAGTTTGAGAGGGCAAACATCGACTATAATGTAGTCTTTTAATTATCATGCGGTATTTTAGAAACCAGTTTGCACACATTTTTACCAACCTGCAAAAAAACAAAACAACAACCAACCCAGACGAGGCTTAAGCTGTGACACGAGGCCACAAGGATAATACATGTTAATGCATTCATGCCAACCTCAGCGCCGATAATGAGATAATAACTTGTTGGATGCTGTGTGGAGAAGTCAGTTTTGCGTGGAGACTCAAGGGCACGTATAAGTGTGACGGTCCGCAGATCAGCGTGTGACTGAGAGTAACAGCGACAACCTGGAGCTGAGACAAACAAGGTGCCTGAAAGCCCAGCGCCGAGGTCGGAGGTCACTGATTAGGAGATGGCGACTGTCGACGTGGACGCTGAAGCCAGACTGTCTCTGATCTCTCCTCACCTTCCTCCCCCTCTCGCCTCTCTCTCTCTCTCTCAAACACTCACATTCGCTCTACTGTTGTCTCATTAATATCATTGCCATCTGCTCCATATGTAACAGCCCAATTAGAGAGGTGCACTTTGACCCTACCTGTCCAAATTAAATCTGAACGTGCACAGCCGTCCCCACGCTCTCCGCCTCCCTCCCTCCCTCACGCACACACATACAGTCACAGACATAGGCTCTCCAGACTCTGACCTTTCATTGTTGTCTCTCCGCAGGGCCTGAGCTGGTTTGTCAGCCTTGTGTAGGTTTGGTTTTCACCCCCCGAGTGTCCTGTGGATATCAGCTGACCATGGTGGTCTGAGCAGAGCGAGGCACGGAGGCAGCCTGGCACAGCGTGTGTTCACTCTAACGCAGCGAGGAGCAGCGAGACGGACCAGAGCCACGAGGAAATAAAGCACATCTAAACACAAAATGTCTCAAAACAGAGAACTGGTGGTTTACTACATAAAGTATAAACTCTCCCAGAGAAACTATCCCCTCAATCACATGGTGCTCAATGAGGCTCCCAACAGGACTGACGGGGGGGAGGCGAGGTTGGCTGAGGAACAGCGGACAGAGACACACGCCAACGGGACTTTTAATGGCACGAGTCCCGGGACCCCGCCGCCGTCCCCGCGGCGGTTGGCGTCGACGGCGACCATGGACGCGGTGAAGGAGGCCCTCCGGGACACGGCCAACGAGTTCGAGCTGCGGTACGCCCGCGCCTTCAGCGACCTGCACAGCCAGCTGCACATCACGCCGGCCACCGCCTACCAAAGCTTCGAGAACGTGATGGACGAGGTGTTCCGGGACGGCGTCAACTGGGGCCGCATCGTAGGGCTTTTCGCGTTCGGCGGGGCGCTGTGTGTCGAGTGCGTCGAGAAGGAGATGAGCCCCCTGGTGGGCCGGATCGTAGAGTGGATGACGGTTTACCTGGACAACCACATTCAGGACTGGATCCAGAGCCAAGGCGGATGGGTGAGTCTCACACCAACACGCCTCTCTCACCCCACGGCACATTTCTGGGTTTAATTCCATGGGCTGCACTACGAAGCAAGATTAGGTTAGCGATGTACGTTGAGCCTGAAGGTGGCTTTTTTAACCTCTTAGATCACCATGGTAACAGATGCTGCACAGCTAAGGAGGAGGTTCTGTTCAGAGTTTCATATTTCAATCGGCTGTAGGAAGCGTCTCCCACTAAGAATCCTTTCCTGATGATTTTCTGGGAGCGATGCAGATTCTCAGCTGAGGGAAAATGAGCTCTGCATTAGTATTCCCATTGATAGAAGCCGTGCAGCTACAGTACTATATGCTGTATGCATCACGTTGCCATGGGAACGTGCATGTATTCAACTGGTGATGTAGAAAATGCATAAATATGCTTTTATGTTTGATGCTGATTCGCTGCCAAGTTTGTTTTACTCTGCTGGTGCTGCAGCTGATAGAATGCAGATTAGCAAAATGTAATATTCTGTTGGTAGATAATAATGGTTTCACTTGGATTTAGCCAAAAACTACAATTATATCCTTCATTATGGGACAGTGTCAGACTTAAATGCACTTCAGTACAAGATCATGTTTCAATGAAAGAAGCTAATTGATCAGTAACATAAATTTACTAACACTCAAACTGTTTTCTACCACCATCTCTGTCTTGCATCATTTGCAGCAGCTCTACATTAAGGCAACCTGCTTCCTGAAGTACACGATTGGTTCATTTAATGTGGAAGAAAAGTCACATGATGTGTTTCATGCTTTCTCTTTTAATGTGAGTGAGTCTCACGTAGACCACCATCCTGGTACCCGTCATCTCTAACTGGAGCTTTAGCTTTTGTTGAGCCTGTTAACACAAAGAAAGCCTGGATACGTCAAACTTGCTTCATAGTGCAGCCCTCAGGTAGCCTGGATGGAAAGTTTTCAATGTTGACACTCTTTCTGTGCCCTCAGCTGGCAGCAGTCAGGTGGAAAATGAGGATAAATCCTGTCCTTATTTTTCTGACTAGTTCTGGAAACATTAATGCTTTCATTGGGGATGATTGCGATTTTTTTGCTAATACGTGATGTCCTAATTTGCCTCTGTGTGTTGTGTTAATGTCTTGCAAACATCATGTGGCTGTTGGTCAGCTGCGTGCGCAAGTTGTGGTGGAGCAGCAAGTCAACATCTGAGCTGGATCGTCCTCCATGAGACCGTGGCATGTAGCAGGGTGTGGTTGTGTCTGTGATCAGCTGAGGAGAAAATACTTGAGATTAGATATGATAGTGAACACGTATGTAGAAGTCAGCACTTACAGGCTGTAAACCAAACATCTGTGCTTAAAACCAGTACGAGCAGAGTGTTTGTGTGGTCAGCAGCTGGTTCAGCTGTTCTCTAATTGATCAGCAGCATGGAGCTCGATGAGCTGCGTCGAAGTGGGAGCTTAACAGGCTTCATCAGGGCTTTGTAGCTGCCTGGGGATCGAAGTTCTTTCATCACAGGGCAGGATGAAGTCCAGGGCTTTTACAGATAGCCCTTTGTTTCACTCCGGTCACTTGATTGGCTCTGTGCTCTGCTTCTTCTTCTGTTTTTCTTTCGTCCTCTATCTGATCACTGTCTTTGTATTTTTTATTTTTTTTTATGTTGTGTTCTTCACCGAGGCAGCTGCACAGAGATGAAAGCTCGGGTTTTTTTCTGGGGGTCAGTTTTATAGTGGACCGTCCTGGTACCGATGGTGTGTGTTTGTGTCCATGCTTCCAGGACAGTTAAGGTCAGCTGATTTCCTTTGTCCCAGTCATTTGATGGTATGGAGGCGAGTGGGAGGGGAGGGGCTGTTTATACTCGCCCCGGCGCTGTACAACACCAGGTCAGAGGTCGGTCCTATGGAAACTGACATCCCCGCGGCAGACGGCGTACCTAGCAGGAAATCCAATCGGGCAGACCTCGGCTTTGCTGTTGTTTGTACTGCAGACCCGCGAGATATTTATTTATTTCAGTGCTGGACTGAAACCTGGAGATAAGAGGGGAAGGATCAGGTGATGGAAACAGCTGACGGGATGTGATTTGTGGCAGTAAATCTTTACAACGCACCAGTGTTGGTTGTTCCTTTATTTCACGGACGTTGTGCCGTCTGGCTGGGCTCATAAATACAACGCTAACCTAATTCTGTCGCTGATGTTTTTAGCCACGTAGCTGCTAAGGAGGTCGCGGTGTTTTTCCAAACTGAAATGTCTCGACAACCATTCGATGGATCGGTAGGAAATTTTGTGCACACGCTGATGGACTCTCGAGAATGAACTACAGAAACTCTGACTTTTTGTCTGATTTAACCATGATGCCACATTTACCTGCAAAACTGAAAACATTCTCATTAGCTTCAGTTGTATTTTGTGCTAATTAGCAAATGCTAGCATGCTAGCACACTAAGAAAAGCTCGTAAACACAGTGGAGCGTACCTGCCTAACGTTAGCGTTGATGCTGTGAGCAGGTTCAGCACAACAGTTGTAGGTTCTCGTTAAGTTCACACGTTCCCAGAGGAACATTTGTACAGCTCAGAAATACTGTAATTATCTTAATTGTTGATGCATTAGGTGATTATTTCCTTGATTAATCGGTTGGTTGTTTAAGGTAAGATGTGCCAGATATTGCTCAGAAAAAACAAACTGACATAACATAAGACATGCAGAGTCTAGAAAGCAGAAAACCAATAAAATATTAGCACAATACTGAAAATACAATAAGTAGACTAAAATAAGGCTAGAACGGAACAGTTAAAATAATTGCTGGCCATTAAACTGAGCTAATAAGTGCGATCACACATGATGATGAAGTCATGCACCTGAATAAATGACATAATGACGTGACAATAACATTGATGTACTTAAGCGTGATATACTGCACACGTCAACAGAATATTACACATGATCACGGTCTGTTAAAGTCAGAAAATGGTGAAAAATGTCCTCATAATGTCTTGTTTTGTCAATAACTCTTAAGATATTCAGTTTTCCATCATAGAGGAAGAAAGCAACCACAAAAAATTCACATTTAAGAAAGTGGAATCAGAAGATTTAGACTTTTTTTAACTGAAAAATACTCCAGCTGATTAACCAATTATCAAAACAGCTTCTGATGAATGTCATCGATGACAACTAATTGGATTTTCCCGTAACTGTTGCGACTCTAATTTGATTATTGTAAAAACGAAATGCTCAGGAATTGATGGACATTCCGAGTGAAACCACCGAAACCACCAACAAGTTATTCTGGGGTGAAGTGAAATTTCCCATCCTGACCTCAAATGGATATTTTTATCATATTGACGGCGTAAACAACACATCTGTCGTGTGGCTGATCTCCATGATCTCATCAAGTCAAAACGGTCCGGACTCCCACACACACTCCCTCACACACACATTTATGCATTTTGCTAAGCAACAAGTCGACGAACAGCATCGGTTGACGAGCTGCGCACGTTGTTTTGCGGCTCGTGGCTTTCGTGTCAGTGTAACCTGGACATGCAGAAGTGAATGACTTCATCCAAAATATTGAATGGATCACGGTGTCAACTGGCTGGTTTCACTTCTCCTGCAGAGCACATGAGGCCGCTTCCTTCCTCTTACAAAGATAATTCACTTTTATTTAGTTGTTGGCTGGTGCAACGGAAAGACCACTAGTTTGACATGTGTCCTGATTTTTCTAAGTTAATACACTTGTCACGAGGATGGTCGAATTAAAAACACACAGTTCACTTGGCGGATTACGGCTCGTACTACTTCCAGTCACTTCACTGCGTCTCCCCTCTTTGTCACAATGTCATTGCTGCGTCTTTTTTTTTTGTGTGTGTGGTTTTTTGTCGCTTCAAAGTCAACCTACACTTTCCCCGAAACGTACCGGAGTCTCCGAGTAAAACCCACATGAGACTTTGTTGTTTTTCTTTTCTCGTTCTGTCTTTTATTTCCCTCTTTCTTCCTTCCCTTCCTCCCCCGACGCTTCCTCGCAGGGATGAAGCGCAGAGCCGTTGGCAGATGTGCGTATAGCTGTGAGGCAGGTGTGCCCTTAGTGTTAGCTGATGAAATATTAGTCTGCCCCGAGCTGCAGCAAGGTCATTTTCTGTTTCACTCAGCAATCACTCAGTCTTTTTTTTTCTTTTTTAATAAATATTTGCAGCTTGGAAAAGTTGCGGCAGAGAAGGTGGAGGGAAGAAAGAGCCTTTGTACGACTCTAACAATAGAAAATATGATGTAAATGGATGATATAAATCAACCTTTTGAAGCCTACTCTCGAGGTAAAGTCATCACCGCCGGCGTAATTTGTAGATTTGAGCTCAGGGGGGTTTCCTAGAAATTGGGGAATTTACGGCGTTTGCGGTTGTCGAAACTTCGAAACGGCTTTGTACTCTCAGGCGAACACCTCATTAAGAAAGTAGGAGGGTTCCCGATATGAACGCATCGAGCAGATTGTGTCAGTGTGTTGTTTCAGTCATTCTGTCAAGCAAAAGTCATCATCAGTTGAATATTTCTCTGTCATAAATGGTAGTAAAGTCATAACCTTTGGGTTGGTGGTTGTCAAAGCTTCAAAAAAGCTTTGTGTTCTCAAGCTTATTAGGAAAGCTGTCGGTTTCCCAATATTACTGCACTTAATGCATCCAGTAGATTGTTTTAGTCAACTGCTTCAGACATTTTTTCAAGCAAAATACTTCATGAGTTGCACATTTCTCTGTTTTAAATGGTAGTAAAGGCATAATGTTCGGGTTTGTGGATGTCGAAGCGTCAATAAAGCTTTGTATCCTCAAACTGACACCTTGTTGGTTTCTAATATTACTGCACTTAATTCATCCAGTAGATTGTTTCAGACATTTTTTTCAAGCAAAATGCGTAATTAGTTGCACATTTCTTAACCTTAAATAGTGGTAAAGTCATTATTTTGGGGGTTTTAAGCATTTTTTAAACAAGCTATTAGAATAAGCCGCCGTATTGAGCCGTATGAAATTTGCAGCAGCTTT